AATTTAAAATTGTCAAAAAAACTTTTTCCTGATTTTTTTTTAATTTTAAAATTCAAAATCAATTTCTAAAAAATAAAATAAAAAAACACCTAAGCAACTTTGAAACTGACCTGATATGGCTGAGGCTTCAAAAGGCCAATTTAGACCTCAGCCTGTAGTTCCCTTGTAATTTAATCAGTTAGTGAAGACATCTTTAAGAGTGCAGGCTGGCAATGGCCTTGGCATGAACTGTCAACCGTCCAGCTCGTCTCAGGCTAAGAGGAGGAAAGGAAAAAATAATAATAATTAAAAAATCATTTTAGTGCACAAGCCCGAGTATTGAAACTTTCTATGCAGAAGCCTGAAGCTGTGCCTTGCCTCAAAAGGGGGAGGACAGGTGAATCAATGCAGACAGCGGCAGCTTGTCAGAATTAAGCCTTGGCCGTTTGGTTTTGGCTCAAAGGCTGATAAAATGGTGCCAGCTGCTTTACCCGCCAGCATGAAATTCAAACAGCAGTCAGGGACTGTCACGGAAGTTCTTGGTGAAAGGAAAAAAAAATTCACCAAAGATCGGAACGGTACTAATATGCTTTCTAACAGTCAGCTGTAAGTGAAGCCTGGAAATCAAGGTGGCTTCGGCAGCGGAATTGAGCTCCCAGTCTTCACACTGTCTCGGTTGTTAAAAGGACCTGCCACAACTAACAATCAGCTGTTACTCTGTCGGATAGCAGTGTTTTTGTCTAAAATGTCTAAAAAATACTAAAAAATTCTAAAAAATTCTTTAAACATTCTAAAAAAACCTGGAAGGCTTTCTCTGAGAGTTTTGAAGATCCCAGTCAGCAAATTGCTCACGTCTAGCTCGAACAACAGACTTGAGTTAAACGGGGACAAATGACAAGGAAAGTGTCCTCGGAACTTTGCTCAGCCTACTGGACAACAGATGGAAGCACTTCCCTGACCTGAATGCTTGGAACAGTTCCAAGGTTGTTTTCTACTTTGAGGTACTTACAAAGTAATAGAGATTGGATAAATTCTAATAAATAGATAAATAAAGTCACCTGAAGTACAAAGTATAGGAAGCTTGAGAGAAATATGTGTTGGGCATGTTGATGTCATAGTGGTATATTAGTATACTATAGACCAGGGGTGGGCAAACTACGGCCTGTGGGCCACATCCGGCCCGTTGGTCTGTCCAATCCGGCCCGCCCCTGAAAAAAAATCGCTGGGCGAGGCGTATTGCCCTGCGCCGCGTGGCCCCCAAAGCTGCAAAACAGTGCGGAGCGCTCTCGGGGTAGGAAAGAAAAGAAGAACTTTGCAAAGGCCTCGGCTGGGAGTTCAAAATCACCTTCGAGTGCGACCTCTCTGAAGGTGAGTCCCCACCGACCCCCCCTTTTTTTTCCGGGGCTTCCAGGCTTAAACTTTGCACAGGCAAAGTTTGCAGGCGGGAGCGTCTTCCGGCCGAGGAGCAGGAAGGGTTCCTCCCGGCAGGCGGGCGGGCTGCTTGGAGTGGGCTGCTTGGAGCCACCTAAAGCTAGGCCGCTGCTGGTAGAGCCTTGCCCTGCCTTGGTGCCCCGTTTCCCGGCTCGGCGGTCCTGCTCGGGCGGCACTTTAAAAGCCTGCTCCCAGCACCCGAGCAACTTCCCAGCAACTTGCGACTTCCTTTTTCCTCGCGGGCGCTCGCGCCTGGCCCCGAGCCGCGCGACGGAGGGGAAACCCGGAGCACCTCCGGGTCGCCTCCTCCAAGCAGCCCGCCCACCTGCCCGCCGGGCGGAACCCTTCCCGCTCCTTGGCGGGAAGACGCTCCCGCCTGCAAACTTTGCCTGTGCAAAGTTTAAGCCTGGAAGCCCTGG